GTGACTCGGGGACATAACTTAGGCAAATTTCATCAAAATATAAAAAACTTAGACATGGGCAAGTTTAAAGGTCGAAATGAACATCCATCTAAAAGCTCATAAGCAGAAAACGAATAAAAATAAACTGACCAAGAAGGTCGGCGATGTTCAGAAATTACAGGCTATGGCACAACGACCAAAATAAATATGTATGGGCACGCAGGCCCCAAAAATATGCACGGGCACGCAGGCCCCAAAACAAATACCAATAAACAGGAGCGCAGGCCGGACCAGAAATTCCACGGCTAGACTTCCCCGGGGCTACCAGCATCCACGACAGGAGACTCAGGAGGAGGCACGACCTGGCCGTCGATGATCTGAGACATGAAACCCACTCCCTCGGTATTCATGCCCGAATTCAATAAAGCGAGCTGGCTAAAGCGCGCGCGACCAAATCCGAACGGCTCCGCAAGGGGGCTGTCTCCTCCGACTCATCTTCAGCAGGAAGCATGGCGGCCTTCAGCTCCTCGACTTCCTTAGACAGACGCTCGTTGTCGACCTCCAAGCGTTCCCGATCCAGTCGAAAACATTCCCTCTCCTCATCAACCTTCCCCGAGTTTTCCTTCTCCACAGCCAACAGCTCGGCTTGTTCGCGGAACATCTCCTCAGATTGCTCTAGAGCAGCCTTCAACTTACGAGAGCCGGCAGCGAGGGCAGCTTTCTCCAACTCCAGTTCCCTGACGCGGTCATAGGAGTCCGACCCCTCCTCAGCAAGGACAACAACCATCTCGCCCATCTTAACCATCCCGACCATACTGGCGGCCAGGTGTTTTCTCTGACTCTCTTTGTTGAGGCGCCTGATGGTCTCAGCCTCCTCGGCACTCACTGTCAAGGGAAACCCCTCGAAGAAACCTTCCTCTTTAAAACAGGGGGCAAGCCAGAGGCCCTCACTGTGACAAACTCGTCGCCGACTTCCGACTGGTTCTCTGCCCGGCTTCTCTTTCTCGTTATCAGCTCAGTGGGCTGCTCGACGTCAGGGGAACCTTGGGACCCGCTAGAAGCATCGCCTGAACTGGTCGGCGGGCCCATCCTCGTGGCCTGTGGAGCTCGCACCAACCTTCTGTTTACTCTCTTGTCCTGAGACAACTTTAAAAGCCTCTCCCTTCGTTCGGCCATATTGCCTGCAAAGAAGAAAGCTCGGGTTAGTTACGAACAAATAACAAACAAAGAAACTGGAACAAAACCATAATACAAAAAACAACCTAGTAGATCTACGGCCTGCCCGTAGGATTGGCACTCGACAAGCGCCTTGGTATCGATAGGACGGGCCTCGAATGTCGGGTAACCCTCCTCGTCAAGAGTGTCTTCCCCCTCCCTCGTGACCCACCGGGCAGGGAAGAAGTTGTCGACATACTTGCAAAGGGTACCATAGGCTTCCTCATCCTCGGCACTCATTCCTCCCGTGGGTGTATGGTAGTGCTCGGTACCATGCTCGTAATGGCGCGAGCACCAATGCAATGGGAACTTGGATACACGCCCCACCACCGGGCGACCCTCAGCGTCCATAAGAGGCTCCCCGTTCTCGTCGGCCACTGCGGTTTCCTCTTCATACATAAAATCCAAAGCAGTCTGGGTGACCGACTGTAGGACGTACCATTTGTCCTTGAAACCCCGGACCGAATCCATGTACATCCTGAACAGCCTCTTCGTCTGTTTCAGGGAAACCCAGCTATGCCTGCCTCCTCGAGACTGGCGTTGCAAGTGAAAAACTCTGAAGAAGAGAGGAATGGTCGCCCTGATTCTCAAGAAGCAACATGTCAGCTCGAACGCCCGAAGAAAGGCGATCGAATTGGGGTGAAGCTGCGAGGGGGCCAAGTCCAGATGGCAGAATACCCCGACTTGGAAATCACTAAAAGGGAGCTTAAGGCCGAGGTCCTTGAACGCGATTTCATACATTGGAAACCCATACTCGGAGAACTCCGAGCAGATTCGCGCATCGAGGGACGCCCTTGTCACAACAAAATTCTTCTGGAAGCCCGGTTGACTACCGCCGTGTTTGACGATAGTGTATGCGCGCCGACTACGCCGACTATATGCCGAAGCAATCCCTCGGGGCTCGGCGCCCACCCAATCCAATGAAGAATCATCGACGGTATCAACTAGAGTTACATTCTCCTCGGAACTCTGGTCCTCGACCTCATTACGCCCCGAAGACTCTGGTTCGTCATCCATTTACCTGCAAAGCACAGGAAACCGGTGAAATTCGAGAGCAAATCCATATGCTCGCCATAACTGACGAGAAGTAGTGCACGACAAGCCAAGACACACTTCGCGCGTGATAAAACTTTGAGGACTCAAACAAGATCCTGGTTTCGCCTCCCCGACGCTAAGGTGCCACGGCGAGTTGTCCTATATACTTCCTAAAGGGTCAACATCCCGGCCAGCTCATGGGTGCGCCGACCTAAACTATGAATGTGACGAGCGATATCATGAACCCTAAACCTAAAACTATGGGTTTACCGGGCAGTATCATAGATTATGCGCCCAAAACCATGAAGGTCTCGGGCAACATCGCGAGTCACATACCTAAAGCTATGAGTTTACCGGGCACAAACATGAGTTTACCGGGCACAAACATGAATGTACCGGGCACAAACATGAATGTACCGGGCGCCAATCCCAGATGTGGGTTTCTAACATCCAAATAACGGTAAAATTACCTACAACAAAGAAAAATATGAGGGATACACGCTTACTTGGAAGTAAAGAAGAATGTACGGCAGCGGAAAGAAAATCGACGGAGGAAGGTGCGGTAATCTTGCGAAGTTGTAGGAAAACAGCGGCGGCAAAGGCAGAGGAAGAAGGAGAAACGCGAAGAGGAAAAACAAATTACGGGACCCAAGAATCCTATTTATAGGGATGGCGTGGAATACGAAACGTCGCCCCAGGGAACCACGAACTTCCCCTCCTCGACGTCTACTCCCCTAGGCAATGATGATCCTACTGTCGCTAGGGTGGCGTCACGGTTCCCGAGGGTTGCCTCGTGTACCCAACGAACATAACCCGCGAGGAATCCCCCGGGCACGCATCGACAAGGGTTACGCCACGAACACAACTCATGAGAAACTTCTCGAGCAATCACGCGGAAGCAAATATCCTGGGCCGGGCATCAGACCCGTGGCAAAGGCGAGCTGAAGTCAAGTCATAACTCCTGCTCCAGGAGCCACGACTTAGGGGGCTCCTGTTCTGGACTGGGCCCGCCCTAGCCCAAAAGCAGGAACAAAGGCCCAATCCAAGCAGCTCCCCGAGGAGCGCGCACCCGACCACAGACTGCAGCCGTGCCCGCCGTTGCCCGCGACACATGGTGCCCCCGACCACGGGAACTCCAGCTCGAGCCCAGCTCGAGCACCCTCCTCGTAGGGCAGATTCTGACCGTTACCAAATCATCTGAACTCCGAAAAGACTGCGTCTTCGTCCCTCCTCATTTCTCGCAGAGCATCACCAGGAAGGGGGCCACGTGCGGGTCCCCACTACACACGTAGAACCTGGCAGTTCCCTTATTGGGCCAATTCTGGTCGGCCCAATGAGGGGACCTTGGCCCCGCGCTGGGGGCTATAAATACCCTCTGTTCCTAGAGGGTCAGATATTCATCTCTTACGTATACATGCACTTTTTACCTGCTCATTTCGTCACTCATTTTAGCATCGGAGTGCCTTGCAGGTACTCCCCATCTCACTCAAATTCTGCCCGGAGCCAGTCGTGACGGTCCAAGTCTGATCAGGTAAGAGCAAGTAGTGATAATTTTTATTTCTGAAAACTTAAGAATATCATTTAGATATGCACTTCAAAACATACCTTATAAATTTAGAATATTGAATATATAATTAAATTGTTTATTTATAATATCTCAAATTTATTTTGAAAAATGTTTATTTATAATATAATTAAATTGAATTATTATTAATAAAAAATAACTTAAATTGATAATTAAAAATAAATATTAAAATATATTTATAATATAAAATTAAATAATAAATGCAATAATTAAATTTTTAATTATAATAGTGAAATACAATTGTCTTTTAATTATTTATTTAAAATTATAAATAATTTTTGATTAAAAAATATAAAAAATATTTTGTAATTGTAATTTTAAAAGTTAAATTTAATTTAGATGAAAATTTTTAATTATTATTATAAATTTGATAATTAATTTTTATGTTTAATTAGAAATTTTATGATATTAAATAAATATTTTTACTAAATAAATAATATTTTTCTATTTCTAACATACTAAAAATATATAAAACTTATGTAAATAATTGATAAATTAATATAATTAATATAATTGATAAACTTTGATTTTAATGATTAGAATTGATACACATTGATTCTAATTGTTGAAATACTTCGAATATATATATTCAAAAACTCTCAAAGACGAAATATTGAGTTATTTCAGATATACATATCCGAAAACAACCTTAAAATCTGAAATTAGATTATTTCAAATATGTATATCCAAAAATCCTCTTAAAATAGAATATTAGGTTATTTCGGATATGCATATCCGAAAACATCCTTAAAAACTTGAAATTTAGTTCGTTCGAAAATACACTTCCGATTCCGATTCCGATTCCCGAAGAAATACATGTGTGGAAAGAAATTCTCTAATATTTTATTAGTAGCTCAATGTTCTTTTAATGAAATTAGTATTAGTGTGCCTATCATTCCATGCTTCTAACATTTAATTTTTTTTACTGATTTCATTCTCTGTTTCTCACTGCAACAAAATAACATCAAGTCAAAATTGATCTCAACACATACATGTAAATATTAACCCGATCAGAATTCTAAAACTAGAATCTAGTTGACTCTCTTCCTCTTCAAGAAATTTGAACGTAATTCAACACACCCTATTTGTATTCATTATTCATTTTATCACAAAACTCACTGGACATAAAATAATTTAATGATTTCACAAAGCCATGGAAAAAATCATTCACGGCATTGTCCTTATGCTATCCCTCACTGTGCTGTTTGCAACCTTTCGGTCCATAATGCTTTGTGCCGCGCCTGACAACTCCGTTGCATAAGTAGCAGTAATGGCTTTGGCATGCCCAACATAACATGTGATTATTGTTTCCAATCTGTTGATGAATTCAAAATGGTAATAGAGGAAGTTGTTAATGATGAAGAAGACACAGAAAACATAACTGTTTTTAATCAACAGATAAATTTGGAACGAGAGATCCAAATCAAAATCTTCTACTGTCAGTTTGTAACTGTAGAAGATCTTTTTCAAAAGTAAATTGGCATAGCTAAGAAGACAGAACTTAAGGTGCACTCTCTTAGTTGTTCTTCACTTAAAATAAACTTCCTGTGATTAAAACGAACTTTGAAAAAATTATGGAAAGCTTTACATACCTTTACATTAAATTGACGACAACTAGGACATGCTGAGCCACCGAGGTGAAAGAGTTCAGCATGCACTTGTTGTATTTCCTGGAGAGGATTTACACGTGCTTGTACTTGCCAGTTATCAATCATTTCTCGTGGGAACAGTTCACACGACCCGTCCCTTGAATGAGAAAAATAGAATTCTGTGAATTGGATGTTTGGTATATAAGAAAACCATGCAAAAGAATTTATAAAGCCGTACCTGAAATGTCCATATGGATCTGATGCATCAAGTGCTTGGTTGCAGCGGTAGCAGAAGTATTGTTCACAATTACCGCACTTCATTTTATTACAACCTTCAGTTCGAGAAATCGCCATGTCACAAGACGGGCAAAACTTGGAATCACGGCGAATTTCTCTCTCACTGAGCATTTCATTGATTTTTTCAAGTTCAAGACGCCTTTGATTTCCCTTTAATTGGGATGAATTTTGCCGATCCTACGACAAGGATGAAATCCAGCAAAATTGAAGCATTTTTCAGGTTAAAAAATAAGAGGAAAAACAAATGTCAAAGGAAATGCAGTGGACATCAGGGACAACAACATCTAGAAACTGACCAAAACTCGCATCAATACAATGAAGGGCCAAGAAAATACAGCATAGTGCATGCAAGCATTCAAACTGTTCAGCACATCGATTGATAACAATTAATGAGAAAATTTTACCACTTAGTTTATTATTATATACTATTCAACAACAACAAAATCCCAAGTTTCCCAACTAAATTAATAGATGAGGAAAAACATATAACTCTTGCTGAATTCCCATTTGGAATCCCAAAAAAAATTTGAGAAAAAACTACAATAAGAGAGGAGCTTTGGACAAATCATGGTTTGGGATTTTTCAAAGGGAATCCAACACATGCCTGGCATAGATGGCAAAAATTAAGTTAAGGGAATTGTTCTCAATAGTGGATTGCGGAAAGATAGAGGGGAAGGAGACAGCATAATTTACTTATTGCAAGAGTTACTTATTTCGGTGAATAGGAATAATACTCACCAACTCTTCAGTTTTTCTTTTATAAAATAAATAGGTCAGGTTTGGTACACATGCAGATTCTTCAATTTTATTATTTCAAAAGCCCTAAAATTCTCTTTTTTCTGCTATTGCCACTACATCAACTAGCCGAAACTAGAATAGTAGCCGCTATTTCCCTAGAACAAAACTTGGATAGTATTGTGTTGTGGTTTTGATAGTGGGTTAATCACAAATCCCTTATACTATAGGGTCGCAATTTGACATTACTAATTAAGAGTATTATTTACAGTTCTCAAAAGTAATAAAGCAATAAAAGAATAAAGTTCCAGATGATAATTAAGATATTGAAACTCAAACTTCCAGTAAAAAGAAGCAGCTCCTACGGATTTCTGGACATATATACCATACCTGCAGAAGCTGAAGCTTCATATCTAGTGTCATGCATTCTATGCCAACATGGCGTCGTTCTCTACAAAGAGTACAAAAGCTAAAAAAGCATTTTGGGCACTGAGCATGTTGGTCTTCGTCCTCGATACAGGGTGTTTCGCATCTCGAACAATAAACAACATCGGACATCGATGCAAGTGTTTTCTCTAACATCACTGATTCCCAACGTTTGTAATCTTCGTCGCCAAGAAAACGTTTTAAAAGGCTAGGTGGAATCATGTCCTTGCATTTTGCATCCAGACATTGAAGATTACTAATGTTCCCTTCTTTTACGTGAATTTGGGTAAAGGTCTGCACGCATTTGCGGCAAAAAAAATGTTTACATGGTAATTGGACGAATTCGGTACCTGTTTGATGACAAAGAAAGTCATTAATTCAAAAACCTCGGTGGATACAGTGGCAAACATACGAACCATGCTCAATACTAATTTGATTTTACCAAGCACAGAAAAAAGCATAATCAAGTCTAAAGCATGTTGAAATGAGAACATCACTAAAAACAAAATTTGTAGCACGACACTTCTAACCGAAGGCAAGTGTGGTCTCCGGCACATGTCGGTGTCGCACACTGACAACAAGTGACACATGTGATTATCAATTAATTCAGTTTCTCAAATTAGTACTAGTGTTGACGTGTTGCTGTCAGTGCCTTGTCCGATGTGTGTGCTTCATAGGAAACAAAATGTAAATGAAGTAACCCATGCATCCCAATAGTAAGAGATACTCAGGCACCATAGTAGTGGTATAACCAACTTCTCCATGTAGATAATAATTACAAAAGTCCATAAGAAAGAGGAGAGAATGATACAGTAAACCAGGAGTATAAATACAGTCTGTGAAAAGGAATATTAGGAATGAAATAGCATGAAGCCATGAACTCAATTAACAAGAAACAGGCCAAAGACTTGGCTTCGTTGAACTATTTCATATTAACCTGCTACAGCATAAGCAACCTATGATTAGTCAGTCATATCATGCGTATTCTTGAAAAATTAGTCTTTTAATTTCTCAGTAAAATGTAACTTGCAAATAAGAAATATATAATGAGTTAAAAAAACCTATTGGAAGAATGACTTTTGTTTGGATAGGCTATAATCAAATTACATTTGGCTGCAAAACCAGCAAAATAAAAGTAATTACAAATCACCAATTATTATAGTTCGTCAAACACTTAATGACCCAGCAACAATTTTTTTTTACTAAAATATATCAATTAGTGTGAATAAACCAAGTCAAACATAAAGTTGGAAATTACCTGGATATTCACTATAGCAAATGCAACATTCATGCAATTCCTTAAGGAAGTTCTGATGGCGTCTCTCATTATTGTAGCTTTGTAAAAAAGGAATATCAGCATCAATGCATCCAATTCCGGAAACCACGCGTGAGTCTGCGACACGATTCAGGCCGTAAGGACCTAGTCTAATCTCCTCATCGAATCCCAAATGAGAAAGAGAAGAAGTATGTAACCAGTCTACCCAATGGTAAATCACTTCCTGCCCTTGCTGTTCTGTCCATATTGAATCCAATTTGGAACATAAACTTAAAATCTTGGCAGATTCCAACCACTTCACAGAGATTGTAAATATAGGTGGTTGGTGGCTCGGATACGACTTAGGTAATAAACACGTCAAAACAATCGGTGGAAGGTATTGAACTTTGAAAGAGTATAAAAAGTCATCTGAATTGCTGCTTATAGTTTCAACTTCACTCACAGAGTTCATCTTAGCAGTAATGCCTATTTCATCCAAAGTATCAATGTTTATGTGTATCTACAAAAAGGAACCAAAAATGAGAATCGTAAAGAGCTTTCAGATAAGTTGCACTGGAACCAAAAGAGCATTTGTCAAAACTATGTTTTTGGCTTAAAGAAATACCTGAAAACAACGCAAGCCTTTCCATGTATCAAGGCTGAAAACATTTTCTCCATAAATTGACTCCACCACAAGTAACTGCAAAACATAAAATAAAATTCAGTTAATACATACGAATGAAACTGACACTAAGACATCGACACCAATAATAATTTGAAAAAATAATTAAATCAAACGCAATCACAAATATGAGTGTCAGTTTTAGACAGAGACACGGATACTAAGACAACAGACACGTTAACTATAGGTTACTACTACTACTAGTATTAATATGAAACTAAATCATATAAAATATTGAGAATTGAACAATTCAATTGATGATTACCTCATCTTGCTGCAATTGATCATTGATTGTGATCTCTTCAATGGACAACTCAGGTTGTTGAATATCACTTAGCAACTTATCAAGCCTATTATCGATAATAAGATCAATATCATGGTCATCACCGCCTTCTTTCGTCGTGCTTGAGCTAGCCACGTCACCGGCAGTGTTGTTACTGTTACTGCTATTGCCGTTGACATCAACATCTTCAGGGGAAACTCTTTCTTCATCCGCGAGAGAGTTGGATGAAGAACTAAGTTCGGATTTCTTGACGTAGCGGAAATTCGATTTGGCACGGTGGTATTGTTGCGGCTTTGAGGTGGCGGAAGATTTGTGGCGGTGGTGTCTCCCGTTCATGTTTGACGGAATTGAATTGAATTGAAATTAATTCGCTTCGTGCCTCAATTTCTTCACAATTTTGCGCCGTTAATTGTGTTTCAAAATCACTTGGGATATTAATTTTACTTATTAATGTAATTGATTTTAGGTTTCTACACGGTTTGGTTTGGATCAGTTTTAAAGTAAAAATTTATCTGATTCAAAAATAAATTTATTTGTGATTCGGTTCGGTTTTAGATAATATATTAAAAAAAATCAAATCCAATCTAATATAATTTTATGCGATTTAATTTGGATCGGATTTTGAATATCTAAATTACACATTATGTTTTATTAATATTATAAAACTATTAATAAATTATATATTTGATATAATATATAACGTATAGTAAATTAAAAGTTAATATTACAAGATGAGAGTGATCAATTATGGTTTAAATAATAAAAATAAATAGATTATACCAAGTTAATAAATACTATTAAAAAATTATTATCATCTAATAATAATTTCACATAACATATCATACTAATAAAAAGTAAATAAATATAAAAATATATGTATGCTGTTCGGCTTGATTTGGATCGGTTTTGAAAATTTTATCCAAATTCGATCCGAATCGATCGATTTTCATAAAATAACATCAAAACACATCTAATAAATTTAAGTTTTTTTTACAGTTTTCAATTTTTTGGATCGGTTTTCAATTTTTTATTTGGATTAATTTGGATTTGAACACCCCTAATTGATCTACATATAGGTTAAATATATTAATGTATTTGATGTAAATATAAATTAAATATATTAATTATTTAATAAATTTAAAAAGTAAAATTTACTTATTAATCGTTACGGAGCCAATATATATATATATATATATATATATATATATATATATATATATATATATATATATATATATATATATATATATATATATATATATATATATATATATATATATATATATATATATGGTTAACACATAATTTTTACTATTTCCTCTGTAAAGATTTATAAGTAAATTTTACTTTTTTTTTGATATATTTGACAATTAATGCATCTAGTCTATATATAGATTAAATATATTAATTATCAAATATATAAAAAAAAGTCAAATTTATTTATAAATCGTTACAGAGAGAGTATGTGATTTTTTAATTGATTTTATTCATAATATTTATTTTGTATGAGTAAAAAATTATTTAAAAAACTACTTTTTCTTTAACTACTGTACTTGTTTTATACTGAAAATGGAAATGGGTTTATTGATTACATTGAATTTTTGGAATTGATGTTGATGTCCAAGATACTGAGAATTCTAACTTTTTTGGATAGTTTTTGGGTTGCGAAAGAGGTTAATATAGAAGTATGTCCCCTTCTCATCGGTTGGTTATTTACGTGGAGTCAGGTAAAAGGATTTGTAGCAACTTTGGAGAATATTTACTCAGATAAATTTGCATCTACTCTTCTCTGGCTTTGAATAAGAGGTATTAAGGTTCTTGAAAATTGCCAATTGCAGCTTCATCCTAGTATTTGAGCCTTGATAAAGGCATTTCAGCTTTGGGTTGATTATCAGCTTTAGAAGCCTTCCAATCAACTATTTTTTCAATCTTTTTGTCGTGGTGCATACTTTACAGATCCAAGATCAAGGGTTATCTCGTTGCTCCAGGTTGTTCCCTGGTTTAGTACTTATGCTGAGGACTAGGAGGATTTTCGAGATCACTTCGTGTTGATGCAACTTTTCTCTTTGAGGGCTTGATGACACTCTATCATTACGTATATTTTGTCGAGAAATCAGAGCAAAATCAATCAAAGATGAACAAATATGAAGCATAAAGGCCAAAAAAGATGCAAAAGTCACGAAGTATGAAGAAATGGGGACTTGGTGGAAATTGGATAAAAAAAAGAGCAAAACGCAAAAGTTACTAGAATAATCATGCAGAGTATCACAAACCATCTGTGAGCGTGACACAACATCGTGCATGGCATCACATACGTGATTTTATAACATAGGCCATCGCACAACCATCGTGCATGTGATTTTATCACACATGATATCATAGTGTCATCGCGCGTGCAATGGGTCTTTTTTCTAAGATTTTCTAACGCATTCTGAATCGATTTGAGACCTTTAAAAGGAAATTTTGGCAGTTTCTCAAGTATTCTAATTTTGAGACATAAAGTGACGGTAAAGAGCACCAATTGAGCGATTTTGAGAGCATTGGAAGCCATTAGAGACTAGTTTCTTCAATGGATTTCCATGCAAAGTTCATCATCTATCTTGTTAATTTATTGTTGTAATATGAGTAGTTAATCTACTCTAGATTAGGTTTTATGAGATGGACTTATATTGAACTTGTTGGGACATATGTTTGATTTGATATTATATGAATAATTGAAATTATATTTTTATTTATTTCTCTTGTACTTAATGCTTTTTATTTGAGATACTTTGTTAATCTGATCTTGGGTACATAGGGAATACTTACCATTAGTCTATGCGTTGGAACTAGGACAATTATTGTGCTTATGTTGGTTGAATGGGAATAAGAGACATCTAGTTGTGGCATTTGAATTAATATATTGTTACAATCCCTAATCTCACTTACGTTGGTTGAATAGGAATATGAGACCTCTAGTAAAAATTAGTGAGCTATACACTAAGGGATTGAGTATAATGACCTTGTTAATTCGTTGTGGGAACATAGTGACTTTACCATTCATATAACACATTAACCATAAATAAGGGACAATACAAGGGATTCAAGTAAAATCTACTCGCTTTCTCGTTTTTGAAATTAGAACCAAATTATTTTTGTTTTTGCAAAACCATCTAAATATCCCCCTAATTATTATTTTTCATTCACCTAATTTTTACCTTTTAAAATTTAAATCCTTGTGGAGACAATATTTTTTTATATTACTACGACACTATTGGTACACTTGCTGAGAAGTCAACAAGTTTTTGGCGTCATTGTCGGGGATTGTAAATTTCAACAAGGCAATTTTTGTGCGAAATTTATTAGTTTTATTTATTTATTTTTTAAGGATTACATTAGTTTTTTTTTTGTTTCTTTTTATTTTTATTCTTGTTTAATCTTTTATCTAGTGCAGTGTCAGTGCTACTAAGGTATTCTTCTTTTTATTTTGTAGGCGAGGTAAAGACATACATGCATTATGAAGTTTTTGCTAAGTTAGCAAAATTTGAAGCTTATTCAAAATAACTTGCAGCAAAAACTCTAATTCTTAAAAATGCAGGAAATTATTCAGAGGAAGAGCCTTGCATCAACACTTATCATTTATAGGAGGAGGATTCATCATCTTAACTTGAAGAAACCTTAACTTATTTTATAAAGATAACTCGACTCAATTTTGAGAAAATCAACAGGTATCAAGAAACTATGCAGAGTGACATGGAAACATCCTTCAAGAAATTAGAGATGCAACTTGGTCAAGTATCTATCCAATTAGCATTACAATTGAGATCTAATGGAGATTTCTATGAAAATAGGTTAGATAGTCCTAGAGATAAGTAAATTGAAAGAGAAGTCAAAAAAGAATGGGAGGTAGTCGGTGAAGGAGGAGTTGAAAAAGAAAAAGAAGAAGAAAATGCACATCGTCTGATGAAAATAGAATCAAAAATAGAAGAAGCGGGGGTGAAAAATATATGTGGGAAAAGAGCAATAATGCAATATGAAGATTATATAGTTTTGGATGAAGCTCTACATTCAATAACTCGTTTAGACGTAGATATCCAACAGGAAAATTTTCAACAAAAGAATATTCCAAATTCTAGCAAGAAGGTTGATGAAAGAGAAGAAATAAATGAAGTATTGGATGAGATTTATGTTTTTTTCGTCACTATCAAGTTGAAGAGAATATGTAAAGAAAACCTTTGATTCCTTAAAGTAATGAAATTCCTACCAAACAAAAGGAAGAAGAAGGATGATGTGTTTTTGTGTCATATATGTCGTCCTAATGAAAAAAATCGAAAAAGGTCAAGCTTAGGAATTTAAAGAAGCACTTAATGGAAGATAATCCATCATATAAGTTTTTATTTCATTTGCAATTTTAAATTTCATGTTATTTCAATTAATTGTTTTTATTTTGTAGCATTCCAGTTAAGGCATAGTATGATAAAGACTTGAAAAAGAGATTGAAATAAGAAAGAGAGATTAAAAACTCTCTATAATCCTAATTTGTATCTCTAATCTTTTTGCACTTTCTAGTGTTGTTGTTGTTGTTTCAAGCAATGGGTCCAAAATGAAGTCAAACCTCTCGAGCATAAACATCAATCAGATGAGGGCATAGAGGACCAAACAAAACCAAGACTTCAACAATACCATGTAAGGCGTGCTAGACTTTTTTTTCTCCAATGACATATGATTGAGAGTTTTCAGAATTTGTATTATTTTTTGTAATTTCCTTTTACGTTTTACAAGTCAATCTCTCAATTTAATCAATAGTAGTAGCTAAAATACTCATCTCTCTTTTGTACCACTTCACTAATGCTTTACTTAATGAATGAGTTTGCAGTTGTTGTTTCTTGCATTTAAAAATGTGCAAATTTAGCAATGAACAAATGAACCAAAAGAATAACCAGATAAAAATGTGATCATCAAGAAGGTTCCTTAAGGATTGAATGAGAAGGAATAAAAAGGTAATCAACAGACTTGTACTCAATCTCCAGATACCTCAACTAGTAAAGTTTGAGCCATAAATTTTCCATTGTTTACAATTCCTTTCATTGAGTGTATCCATGCATTTACTATTTTATCAGGTTTGAACTATTTCTAATTTAATTTATCTATTTTGATTTACACACATTGAACTCAGCCTTTTGAAGCCAACCTGTATTAATATTAATATCCTTTGTTAACCACTTTGAACTTAGCCTTTTGTTTCGGTGACATAGCCTTATCATTTATCCATTTGACTCAAAAGATAAAATCTTTCCACCCTCTCTTTGGAGTTAGCTAGAATTTTTAGTTTTCATATCTTATGAAAAAGAATAAGT